AACCAGTTATACAACTTTTACTCGTCAAATTTTCACATCAAAGAGCACATAGTGATGATGGGTTATTAAATATACATTTTTCTTTGAAAATAAATAGTCCATTTACCTTAAAATAAACACTGAAAGTGCTAAATTGTAATAAAAATATTTTGATATTGAAGTGATGAAGTTATCAGTTATAACAGCTGGCCACTAATTAAAATGTTAGGTATATCAGTTAAAAATTATTGAAGTTCAAAGGCCTAAAGGAATGATTATGGCAACCGGTTGTGCTAAAAAGCTAGATAGAAAGCGGCAACCATATCTTCATATTACTCCTTCAGCTGTCTTGGTTCTAGTATGGAACTTCCTCATGTATTCTTATTACATATTAGGGAGTTGTTTCACTGCTGGATTTGTAAATCAAGTTGCTCCTGCCACTTGGTATAAGTATGGTTTAGTCATTTTCTTTTTCTTTGGTAATGTCTTCTTTCCTTTTTTTGGTCTGTTAGCTGATGTATGGATTGGAAGATACAAAGCTATACTGATTGGTATAGTATTGTGTTTTATTTCATGGATTATAATAGGAATCGGATTTATTGTGGATATCTACTTTAAATCTGAAAAAGTTCTTTGGAGTTTTTTTGGTTTCACTTACATTTTGTATTTTTTTTGGTTATTCCAGTTTCACTGTTAACATCATTCAGTATAACATTGATCAACTTGTTGGAGCTTCAGCTGATGAACTCAATTCTGTCATATACTGGCATATACTATCTGAACCACTTGTTATATTCCTTTTTTACCTTCTTCAATGCTTATTTTATAAAAGTACGTATTTTATTATGATCACTTTCATAGCATCAGGTGTATCTGTATCTCTTGTACTGGTGTCTCATTCATTCTTCAAACACAAACTGGAGAACATATCACTCATCAAGAATCCCATCAAACTCATAGTTAGAGTATTGTGTTATGCCAGGAAGCACAAGTATCCTGAGAATCGTAGTGCTCTGACCTACTGGGAGGAAGAGGCTCCTTCAAGACTAGACCTGGGTAAGGATAAATATGGTGGACCATTCACAGAGGAAGAGGTAGAAGATGTGAAGACAGTATTTCGCATGCTACCATTATTCATTGGTTTTGGTGTAATCAATCTCTGCAATAACTACTATTGGTCTGCTGATGAGAGTTTTACATTACCAACTTGCTTAGCAGTAACAAATTTTCTTTACCACATTTCTTCAGTCATTCTAATGTTTGTTTATTTATTCTTCATCAAAGTTTGTTTTTACAAGTATATTCCCAGTATGCTGACTAGAATGAGTGTTGGTATCTTCCTTTCTTTCATTGTTACAGTTTCTAAAGTGATCATATTTGTTATTGAGAGGTCTCATCCTGAGATAAAAAATTTTGGTGAATTACTCTTTATTTCACAAACTTTACAGGCCTTTTCTTATATTCTTGTGTATGCAGTATCACTGGAGTTTACAGTAGCTCAGTCTCCAGTACACATGAGAGGAGTGATGGTTGGATTGTGGTATACTTCATGGGGAATCGGTTATCTCATTAACATTCTTTTAAAGTTTCCATTTTATTGTGAGAGTCAATACATATGTACTAGCTTCTATTATTATATAGCAAAGAGTGTACTAGTTCTTATCATACTGATAGTGTTTGTGATACTGGCTAAACATTACAAGTATCGTGTGAGAGAGAATGAAGTTAATATTGTTCAGATAGTTGATGATCATTATCAGAGATACATGGAACAAGAGGAACAATATAACAGGAACAGAACTGATGATACTTATTATTCAATTCAGTATTAAAATTATTTTATGCTAAGTAAATATTCCTAAATTAAGCTTTGTATGTAAATTACAGGATATTTTTAAAGTTATTGGTCCATTTTATGTGCGACTGGCAACATATTAAAACTGAGAAATCTCTCCTAGCTACTCTTTATGAAATACTCATGCCTGCCAAAGTTCAAAGTAACTTTCAGAATTTCTCCAAAATAAATCAAATTGTAATTGGAATTAATTCCAACTATATACTCGATTCTTCAATTCCTAAGCAGTATCAAATAATTCTGGTATTATAAATCAATTGCAAGTACACTTAACTTTAATAACAGTTATTACACAACTAGGTAATTTCAAAATTAATACATTACTATTAAAATTAAACGTAACATGCAATACTTCTGAACTGCTGTCAAAACTTTTTGGCTTAATGAATGATGAGAAAGTGAACAATAAAGCCTGTTTAGTGTTTCTACTTCACCTCTAGACAAAAGAACCCAGATACATGAAATCCCATCAATACACAAAAAATCATACTTGGAATCAAACCAAATCATGCGTATCTATTACCATAACATACAGGTCTTTTAAGGCAGGATTTTATTAAGAATAGACCCATCCCCCTATTTTTGCTCCATTAAAAAATTTGTAAAAGAAAGATGCTTTGCATGCACTGATTTAATGTACTTATTTGAAAAGCAAGTTTTTTAAGCATAATATGGGATTTTAAAATGCTACTTTTGTTCATAATGGTGTGTTGATTGTTATTTTCAATTTGTGCATAACTAGTATTGCTTTGCTTTCAATATGAGAGCATAAATGTGTCATGGTTATTTATTCTTTGCATTGAAATAGAGATCAATATTTGAATCCATCCATTACATTATTTGGCTACAGTATACTACTTAAAAGTCATAATCCGCTGATCAATTAAAAGCAAGCCCTAACTTCAAAATTAGCTTTTATTTAATGTATGGTTGTGTACTAGTTCTTATACTGATAGTGTTTGTGATACTGGCTAAACGTTACAAGTATCGTGTGAGAGAGAATGAAGCTAATATTGTTCAGATAGTTGATGATCATTATCAGAGATACATGGAACAAGAGGAACAATATAACAGAGATAGAAATGATGATATTCATTATTAAATTCATATGTATCTAATTAATTATTTTTATCAGAGAATATTTTACATCATCATTATCGTTATGTCTGCCACTTGTACTAACTCTTAATCAACAATCTTACTTAATCTTATTCTTAATCTTAATCTTACTTTTACAATGTACGTGTACATGCTTCAATCCCAACAGTCACTGGAAGAAATGGCAGAGAAAAGAGCTGAAAAGCAGTACTAGCTTATATACATGTACAAAGTAGGGCATGCATTTGCTCTGATAATGAGGCGCAGCACTTGCATCTATGATAATTGACAACCATAGTAAAGACCTGTCTGACGTATATACATGTACATGTAACACCATGTCTGGTAGGTACTGTACACAAGTACATGTAGTCATATTAAATTATTGCAAAATAAGTGTTTACCTCAATGATTGTCTCTTCTTTTTGTGCTAAGCTCTTCTCAACGTCTTCCTTGAGTCTTCTAAGTATCATTGGCTTGAGAACCTAGAACAGAAAATGTACATAAAATAATGATCCAATATCTAACAACTCATTAATAGTTTAGCATGTAATGCACATACACACACAAGTATACTGTACACATCTATAGAGAAAGTTTTTTCAAAAAGAGAGATTATAAGGAAATTAAGTTAAAGAATAAGATTTTTTAAGAATAGAAATTTGCATTAAAGTTATGTGTACTAATTTGATGTATTGTACATGTACATGTACATGTACATGTATTTCAAACTTTATAAATTTTATCAAGTACATGTATATGTACATGTATTAAGGATTACATGTACATGTACATGTATGTGTCAGTAATTTTAAAATCACCTACTAGACTCAGTAAAATTAGGACATGCAATTAAAAGTGTTTGTGTGTGTGTGTGTGTGTGTTCCTCACAGTTTGTAATTCTTCAACTTGTTCTTCAGTTTTAAGATACCCAAACTGCTGGAGGAATAACTGTAATGAGGGGAACTGTGACGGCTCCAAGAAATTTAACAAACTAAACAATTCATCCACACTGTTCTGAAGAGGAGTACCAGTCAGTAGCACCCTGTGCTCCTAGAACAGCACAAAGGCACATTAGGAATGTGCAGAGTATTAATGCAACTATACATGTATGTATGTGCATGTGTAATTTTGAGTAACTTTTAAAATCCATAAAAAATCTAAATTTAATTGAAATCTGCTCAAACTGACTATACAACATAAGTGCATGTACCAGCATATGTATATGCATCAGAAAAAATTATTAAAATGGAGAATTCTCTTCTTTTTATTTTTGGAAAAATTTGGTCAAATTTACTGTTCTAAAGTCGTGGCAGCCATTTTGTTTGGGGGTGAATCCTACTTAGTAACGCTACCGCGTTACTAATAGTAGAGGGACTTTGACCCAATTTTAGAGCACATTTAATAATTCATAAAAAATCCAATTTTGATCGGAATCCACTCAAACTTTCTATGCAACATAAGAACATGTAAATGCATTAGAAAAAATTATAAAAATGAAGAATTCTTTCTTTTTTATTTTTGGCAAAATTTGGCCAAAATCACTGTACTATAGTACAGGGGCTTTGACCCAATTTCGGAGCAACTTTCAAAATTTGTAAAAAATTCAATTTTGATTGAAATCCACTCAAACTTTCTACGCAACATAAAAATATGTATATGCATTAGAAAAAATTATAAAAATGAAGAATTCTCTCCTTTTCATTTTTGGCAAAATTTGGCCAAAATCACTGTAATATAGTACAGTAAGGGGGCAAAAATTCTATCCAAAGACTAGAAAAAACCTTTAATTTTAAAAAGACCTTATATAAACATCAAGCATGGACGACAATACAAAACAGATGGCACGTTGAATAAGTTTTGGACTAACCCCACTAAGACTATGGAGGACAGTAGACAGATCAGATAGATCTATGCTCAGTCAGGATACTAAGTCTCTTGGTCAGACCATATGGTTAGACCATAGATATATCTATGGTCAGACATTAGTCTCGCGTAGCAGACGACATTAGTCACATTATGGATCTATTAACAGTTACTAAAGTTTATAAAAACTA